CACGTCCTATGAAACACCTCCCTAAATGCACGTCTTCTCTTGGGCCCAACTAATATTACATCTATAGATTTTTACTTTCCTAAATGCAATATCTCTCTAAGTGCACGTTTGACTAAATTTTTATACATGGTCCTGTTGCATTGCATTTAGGGAGGTCTGACTGTATTATTATCATCTTTGTTTTTTAATATTCATATGTGGAGAAAGTTGCATTTTTGCATCTTCCTTAACCCAATAATTAGTATTAAACTTATCTATTCTTTGGATCTTTCAAAGAACTTGTGATAGTTGATTTCAAACAGTTTGTAAACTGTAAAGATTAAAATTGTTTAAACTTTGTCATTTCTTGAATTTTATTAAGTTGTTGCCAAACAAATTGCAATTGTAATTGCAATTGAAGTTGTAGTTGTGATTGTAATGTTGTTGTGATTGTTGCTATAGTTGTAATTGTAGTTTTAATTGGGATTGTAATTGTAGTTGTGATTGTTGTGTAATATAATCTTGATTAGTTAAAAAATAATAAAATATTATAGTATAAATATGCTTACAATGAAGCAACTGGTTTTAAAAATTATTGCAGTACAAATAAATTGCTTTTCTAATTGGTTTTGAAATTTTGTGTTCTGTTCAACTAAATAATTAATACCAGATATTAAATTAGATAAAATTATTCAGTATTATTTAATGAGTGTTGTTAACTTGCCCCTGGTGACATTAACCACCCTATGATTTAACAATCAAATTACAGGATCTTGTGTAATAAAATAAAGAAATTTTTTGAAAAAAATTAAAAAATTATCAATATCATAAATAAATAAATAAATAAATAAATAAATAAATAAATAAATAAATAAATAAAGTGCTTTATATTAAAGTCATGCTAAAATTTTTAAATTAAAATAATTATAGCATTTAGCATTAATATGTTATTTAGAAAATTTGTATTATTTCTATCGCTATCGTATTATAAAAATTTATAATACTTCACCTTAATAAGATTCAAAAAAAAAAAATTTATAATACTATCACATGATTGTAAGTCACACAATTCAAATTAAGTTTGTATCACGGTGGAAATAAATTAATTATGCCTCTTACGTATAGTACGTCATTTGCCAATTTAACTGAATTTAAATGCATAAACTATCATCTATGTAATGTCACCTTTGCAAATTTAAAATTACGATTACAGTAATAGCAATAATAAAATAGTGTATATAAATTAAATCTGTTTAGATATCCACCGAGTATACATCACTAATGAAGTTTGTGGTTGATAAAATGGTGCTTCATGGCCAGCTTGATAAATATTTACAAAGGATAAATAAGGTGAAGATTGAACTTGACCAGTTGTTTGACCGTTGACTATAAAATTTTGTAATTTCTGAGAATTAAATTGGCTTTGGTATTTCGATGGGATAGATTTAGTTAAATTCAGTCCACCAATCCTAGTTTAGAAGGAAATATTAATTTAAAAATGATATAATAATACCATTTATAATAATGTATAAATTCTTACCAATTACAATTAGCGTCAGCATCACCATGATATAGCAAAGTACGAATGCCGTTATTAATAACATAACCCAAAGTGGTGAGAGAGGTTCGTGCACTGTTAATTTTTTTAAAAATTATTAATAATCAATCATCACGTGACCAGCAATATAGTTTGTACAAGAAAATAACACTTGCAAATCCGCAGTATTTGTAAAAGCTAAATAGGCTACGTCGGAACATTCGACATATGGTGTCTTTGCGCCAATTGCACTCATAACTTCAGGTTTGGTCAAGTAATTGATATAATCTTCCGGTGGCATAGGATCAGAAGGAGGTCCTCTAATGTCATAGATATTGTAATTTAAATTTTCGGAAAACGGAACGAACAATTTATCGAAGCAATAGTCATCAGCACTGCTACAGTCTTGATTAGTACTTGTGTTGTAACATTGTAAAACTTTAAATAAGATTCAAGAAAAAGTTAATCAAAAGTTGCGTGATTTGAATTTCTGAAAATTCAAAAGAAAAGCTGACATACGTAAGTTTTTACATGTAGGATATGTCTCCTTCATAGTTGTAAGCACATCGGAAGGAACCAGTGATAAATTATCTTTAAATGTTATATAGAATAGAATCTATTTAGAAGAATTTTAATAATATAATAAATTATAAAATAGACTTACAAGAATTACTTGTAGCATAATCTATAAGTGAACCACTTTATAATAAATTAAAGTGTCAGTGCTATAAATTGTATGTTTAAATAAGATAAATTAAAACAAACAGTCCAAGAAATCTTACTATTGGATTGCAGGGTCTATCCATCCGTTACCAATTCCAATAGATTGGAGATTAATATTAATCGTGCATGATAAGAGTCCGCATGGTACATTGAGTATGCTATTTTTATCCACTATCAACTTTGCTAAGGCAGGAACTAAAGCACATGAAATAAACAATTAGCCACTATTATGCAGCGGGAAAGTGAAGCAATAAGATGAAAACCACCACAATTATTTACCATAACGTCCTCCATAAGATTCCCCGAATATATGAAAGTTTAAACCCTGGTATTCTGTAAATATGCCAAACCATTTCTGTAAGAATTCATAAAGATTAGATGCTGCTTGATCTGTTGATGTCAAATAATTATCTCCTCCATATGAAAATCCTGCACCATTTGGCTGATAGAATGAAGAATGTGTTACTTCGATCCGGATATATCTGATATGTATATATAAAAAATCTTATTTAAACGTTGCACCAACCTGATCAACAAATAATAGATTTGTAACTTGGTTCCAACTATGAGGATTTGTAGAAGTTCCTGTTCCATTTGATTGAGATCTACATGGCCCTACTTCTTGAAAAAGCCCGATCATTGAAGAACACCCGGGACCACCATTAAGATACAATGTGAGAGGCGAGCCCATCGGATTATTTCTCGATTCAAAGAACCAAAAAAACATGTTTGAACCGTCAGAAGTTTGTATATAACCAGAGTACTATTAATGTATTATATGAACTTCAGTAAAAATTATATTGAATTTCACTAAAACAAGATATTTTTTTTTTGGTATAAACCTGTTTCACATTAGGATCACATAAATTGCTGGAAGAGAAGTTCTGTTTTTGATTATTATTAACATTGGCATTAATACCGAGGAGATTCTGTCTTTCCTGTTTACGATTGGGACGATATTTATTGGGACGATCATTATTGGGATAATTTTTATTGGGATAATTTTTATTGGGATAATTTTTATTGGGATAATTTTTATTGGGATAACTTTTTTTATAATTTTTATTGAAATGATTTTTATTGAAATAATTTCTATTGGGATAATTTTTATTGGGATGATTTTTATTGGGATGATTTTTATTGGGATGATTTTTATTGAGATGATTTTTATTGAGATGATTTTTATGATGAATCTTGGCCGCGTCAATAAGCAAAGTAACACTGAGAAGCAAAATAATGACAAAATGAAAGCGTAATGAGGAAAGACGAAAGTTACCGAATGAATTTCGTAACAATCTGAAGTTTGCCATAATTGCAAAGAAGAGAACCGTAAGGAAAGGAGAGATGTGTGACTTATTGGACAAAATGTCCTTTCAAAATAGAGTAGCCGTCAAGTGAATTATTTTGACATGAGATTTTGCAGACAGCAGGCCCTCTTTATTTTATCTTCGATAAAATGTTTGTGATACTAAGATTTATAGGCATACTAATTACTCTCAAAAACATAATTTAACATTGCAGTATCGTGCGTCAGGCCGAAATTATTCAAAATGCACAATTTTCGTGATCCAATCAATTAATTTTTTTGTAGGCTCTAGTATGATTATTGTTTCCTCAACGGATCTTGGCCACGCATATGATTTCTGAATCGTTGAAATAAACTTATCAAATTCGTCAATTTCTCTGCAGGCAAATCAAAATGCTTTAATGCTGCAATACAATTCAATGAATGGTGTAGTGCGGCAATTTGATATCTAAAATTGGTAGATTTCAATTCCATCTTAAGCGTGCTTTATTGCATGTTTTTGGAAAAATTATGCGATCAATTCACGTGATTATAATTACCTTCAATTACCGAAAATAACTTTATAGTCCGCATTCGGCTAAGTTAAATCTAATTTTTTTTAACGTTAAGAATAACATTATTTCGCACAAATACGGCAATCGTGTAACGCATGGCTTAGGAACTTCGTATTTTTATATATTTTTATATATATAACAATATGCAATACGCAATATGTACGTACGTAGTTCAAAACTTCCTTCTTTATGCACCTATCAATCTCATAAATTTCATAAATTACAATGCCTGAAGATACAGTTTTTGAAATATCTCAAGATGAGCTCGATGCTGAAGCTCGCATTCGTGCCGAATTTCAATGTTTGACCAATAATCAAGTTTTTGAACATGTATTTCGCTATCGCATCATGGCACTCAAACGTGGTGTGACAGTTTTGCGTTCCGCATCAGATGTTTTAGGTAACGACAGTCGTGAACTCATGATTCCATCGTTACAAGAAACTCTGAATTCAGTCATTAATAATACTTCCGCAACTGGTGAATTTCATATGTTGGATGTGGGCGCTGGCTCTGGTATTTTTCATTTATAATCATGTTTTTGGCACTTTAATACGTACGCAATAATTTTCCGTCATTTTATTTATTTTATTGATATTAGGGGAAGCTATTGATTGGTTTTTTGCAAAGAAATTTGAAGAAAATGTTAGCATAGGAAAAAACAAACATATCATTCATATTATTGAACCAAATCCTATTTTGTTAAAAGCCTATCAACAAAAATTATTAGAATATGAGCATCTTGATCAAGGAATTGTTTATCAGGGACCTGTACAAGATTATTATACATCCCACGAGGATGCTCTATTACTACCAAAACTGCCAGCGTCAGTTGATTTCATAAATTGTATGCATATGATATACTATTTGTAAGTATTGATAAGATTTACAAAATATGCACAATCGTTGACTTTGTTTTCTAAATTTATAAAATAAATAATTTGATTTATGATTCGTTCTAGATCTGATATCACAAAATTAACAATTGATCCACGTAAAGCTATTATAGATTTTATTACATTCCTATACGGATTACTAAAGCCAGGTGGTGCAATTTACATTGCATTTCTTGATATGGAAAATGCATTCAATTCAATTAGTAGAAACTTTTTTGAACAAATCATTGGTGATAAAGATACTTCACGAAATATTTCACATACTGGCAAAGCGCGAAATGAACTTTTACTTGAAGGTAAAATTTTAAAAGTTTTAGAGTCACAAATTGTTGATGAGAATATTCGCCCAAAAATTTGGAGCAGCAAGGTGCCAAGTGGTTTCTATGCAAGATCATTGGGAGATCTTGCGGTTTTAACTTTAACTGGAGAACTGCTAAGGTCTGATGATGACAAGTTTGATATTAGAATGTTAGATTTCGCTATAAAAGAATTAAAAACCGCTGCTGTTACACCCGTGGCTATTGGAGAAGATAAACCATTCGGTTTAACGCGCTGCATCCGTGGTGGAGAAAATGTTTGGAGAGCTGATAATCCTTTAATTATTAGTGTCATCAAAAAAGAACGTGTGGGTTAATCATGTATCAGTTTAAATAATCTTTTTACAATTATTTGATAGAAAAGATTTCAATTTAAATATATACATTATATGAGTGTCGCTAAATAAAACCCGAAAATTTAAATATGATTTATATTTAAATTTTCGGGTTTTCTTTTAGCGACACTCATATTTATCTTTATTCAAAATAAAAAATTAAGCTTAGTGATTGTTATTAGCAAGTATAAATTTAAAACATTGCATAAGTTTAATTTGTGCACTGTTTCCGATTGTATATATTTTAAAGGGATGCGTATCATTTCACCGATCATCACTTCACCGACATCTTAGTTCACCGACAAGTTCATTTCACCGACAATTAATTCACTGACAAGTTCATTTCACCGACAAGTTTTTTTTATAAATTACACTAA